ACCAAGCACGCCAACTCCAGGTGACTTTGGCCTTGACAGAAATAAAGGGAGAATGCCCAGAGCTCTGAGCTGACCTTCCTACCATTTTCCTCCCCTTCCAAGTGTTCCTGTAAACTCGTGTTAATGCTCAACACCCAGGATCAGTCATTTCCTTCTCCAAGAAGTCCTCTAAAGTTTCCCCCACCCCGCACATGCTGGCAGTTCCCCATTCCCTCCCCTGTGCCCCCAGTGTCCTCTTCCTCTCAGTGCCCATGTGCGATGCAGACAGTACCTTACCCACTGTGGGCTGGGCAGTGAGCTCTGTGAAGCTGTGGCCCATGGCTGCTTCTCTGAGCCCAGCCCATGGTGTTTAGTTGGGGCTCAGTGAATGACTAGGTGGCTTCCCTGGTGAGCTTCTCAAGTTGTCTGATTTGCTCCTAGCTTAAATTGAAGGCATTATGACAATCTGACTTTGTTGAACATCCTCTAGGTGAACATCTTTGAACAGAGGAATAATGTGAGGGGAGCACATCAGGTGCAGCAACCCTCCTACTTCCGGGCGGCCTGTACGGATGGCTGCTGGGTGTGTGTTTCAGGCCACGATAGGAAACATTCCTGGCATCCCGCACAGCTCCTTCTCAGTCTAAAACAACACTCCCCACCCCTGCCCCCAGCTGATTGCCATTCTGACCTCTAGAGATGCCTTCCTAAAGTTTTTTCTTTTCAGTCGTGCTGAAATACGTGTAACAACATTTGCAATGGGTAAGCCATTTTTAAGAATACCATTCACTAGCATTAGGTACATTCTCTGAAGGTCCTTCATGTTTAAATGGCCCCAGTAATGCCTTCTTGGGGTAAAACAACTGAATGATGTAGAAACAGCTAGAGTAGAAAGGGAAAGTTCTCCCACCTGGGTATCTTCCTCAGAAAGAACCACTGCTCTCAGTTTGTGTGTCTTTGCAGACCTTGCTCAGTGTGCTGTCATGCAAATATCTGTCAACTCAGGAAAACATGTACGTGTTTTTAAGTGAAAGTTTTGTTACTTAACCGTAAATGGAATCCTTGATTGATGGATTGATTGCAACCTGCCTTTCTGTGTGCAGTCTGTGTCCAGGTCTTTCGAAGGAGGCATGCCCAGACGTGCTGGAGGACATTGTGTGTGCTACCTGTGGCATCCCCTCTTCCACCTAGACACCAGGCCTTGTGTGTTTCTGTCCTTCCTCCTGACCCCTCTCGCTGCCCTCACAGAGTCTACTCTCAGATCCCGCAGCCCCTGAAAGGCCTTAGTTATTGCTGACCCCAGGGAAGTCACCTTCTCAAGTATTTAACACAAGGACCAAGAACCAAGGTTGGGGGTTGGGAGCTGAAGGCTGGGGAAGGCATCATTAACCAGAAGGTTGGACAGACTTTTGGGAGCAGACAGCCCTGGGCCACCCCTGAAATCACTTTGCTGGCCTTCAGCTGGCCCTCACCCCAGAAGCCAGCCTTAACGTTCACCCGCAGAGCCCAGGGCTCTCTCCCAGCATCCCACAGCTGGACCGCTGGCAGAATCTCTGCAGGCAGCAAGGGGGCCCAGTGTGTCCACACTCCTCCTGCCGCTCGGCTTCAGGACGCTGGGAGCCGAGCACTTGGTGAAGCCCGAGCCTGTGGCATTTCTCGGATACTTTTCTCTGGGGCATGTGTGGTGTGCTTTCTTTATGAGAAGATCGGCCCAAAGGCATTCTGATTTTGCTTTTCTACTTCTTTTGGTTAGTTTTATTGTTCTAGCCCTTCCACTGTGCCAAGTTCAGCTCCTGAGGGTGTTAGGCTCCTGTTTCCTTCCCCCCCCCGTTTCTCCTTTTGTTGTTCCCTCCCTCATTTTGGATGCAGTGTGGGACAGGCAGCCATGATTTCACTCCGCAGCAGCCCGTCGCGGCCCTGCCCTGTCCTGGGCACCTGGGTTAGTGTTGAGAGCATAGGGCACCCTTCCCCTGGGGGCTTCCCGTCCAGAACCTCTGGGATTGGCCACCGTAATACAGAGATTCCCAGGAGGCCAGCAGCCAGAAGGCTCTTGACAGGAGCGGAAGGAACGATCATGGATCTCTGCCCACATTTCCCAGCCAGTTCTATCAGCTTTTCTATAGTAACTGGGATTTTGATGTTAGTAGTAAGAAAAAAAATTAGTTTTTTAAAAAAATATAAAAGCAGAAAGGGAAATAAAGTCCGTAATTCCAATGTCCAAATGATCCTTGTTGAATTATTTTAAAGTTAATATGTGTACATGATTAGAAATTTCAAACCAAGTGGAAAGTTATAGAAATGAAAGATATCAGTGCACTTGTGTGGGTGTGCACGTACAGCACATCTGCCTTCTTTCTTTGCCCAAAGATGAAATGCTAATATATTCTTATGCAGCTTTCCAGGAAAACTTGCATTCACGCCATCATGTGTAGTCCTTGACAGCCTTTCATTGAAAGCGGCCCTACTGCCTTCTCTGTTCTTGCTTTTTCATCCTGGTACTATTTCTGCATCAGTACATCTAGGTATTAAAAAACTATAGTCTTTTGAACATCTACGTGGATTCCCACTCTGCAGACAGACCATAATTACCATTCCCAGTGCAGATGGACATTTAGGTTATTTCCAGCTGTTTACTGGGTAGGTTGCATTTTAAAGGTTTGAAATTCCCCCAGTAAGCATGCCTTCCCCCTCCATCTCCTCAACACCTGATCATCGAGAAAAACAGATCCCTTTGGAAAGTTTTAAAATTCATTTTCACAGTTGATTTTTCTTTTTGTATGTAGGCAAGGAAAGGAAGCTAACTGTCATATGTTGGATGCTTATTATATCTCCAGGCTCTGAAGGAAGTTGGTGTCTATGCTTTTGTTTAGTTCCTAGAGGCTGTAATTACTTGCCCTGTGTTTTAGAGAAGGACTCTGAAGGTCATAGAGGCCCCACAGCTCACGTAGGGATCAGGCACGGTTGACACCGCTGAGTAGCCTGGACCTCATGCGCTCATTCACTTCCCTCAGTTCTGCCATTTGTTCTGCAGAACTGGGGTCCATACAGAGCTCCGGGGGGTGGGGGTTTCTATAGCCACCTGTGTGAATTTCTGCTTGGAACCTGTAACTAGGTGTTTACTCCGCATTTAGCCTTGGGTTTCTGCTTCTGAAGGCTCTCGTTGTATATGGCATGCTCTGAAATTCACTGGGAGTAAGTGGTCATCAGAGGAAGCAGCCACTTCATCTTGGGCTCTAATTTCCCAGGTTTGGGTCCTTCAGCAGAAGATGAGAGGGGCATCCAGGGCTGTGTTCAATCACACAGCATCCTAAGTGGGCTCTGATGGATGCTGTCTGTCAAGCAGTGTACCCTCGGAATGTTCCCATCTCTGGGCTCTTGGTCGTTGGCGTCTGCAGTGTGCTGTCTGGGTTTCCTGGACAGTATAATCATGTCTCAATTTAACTGTCATTTTTGTGGATGAAGAATCCAAAGTGGATAAATAAAAGTTAATGTCTGGATTTGGATGCTAATTTAGCTTTCAATTAGGTTTTTGCTGTGAGTGTTATTGAAACTAATATGTATGCCTTGAGCACATTCCACTTATTGGCAAGGAATGGTGGCCCCAGAATATAATTGGTGGTGGTTTGGGGTGAATTCAGAAGATGGATAAACCTATCAAGATAATAGAAAAGTTTACTTTAAACCTTTCTCCTTTTTCCCCCTGCGTTTTATAAATATAATAACAAACAGTGATTGTTAAGTATGTATATATAAATCAATGCTAAATTTAAAGATTATTCCTGGGTTAGGGTACTATATTGTTTCCTAGAATGTCATCTTAGTCTATCAACATCGAAGTGTTTTTTTTAGTATTTTATTGTAGACACACCCTACTTTATAATCATAAAGCACAGCAACATTTTTCCACATTTAACTTTGTAATATTTTAAAATAACTTTTTCCTTTTTTAATGACAAAATGATGTTTGAGCATCATCCAGATGCTGGGAGGAGAAAAACCCTTCAATCAGAATCCTGTCCCAAATAAATCAGTTTTCTTTTGTTTTCCTTTCTACACATAGTCCATTTGCATGTAAATACTTTTTAAAGAGTATGAAATCTGGAACTGAGTTTGAGCTGATGACGCACTGTCATTTTAGGAGCTTTGTGATTGGGCGATCTTTTGTTCGAATTCTGACTCTGCCGCTCAGTAGCTGTGTGACATTGGGCAAGTCACACTAATAAAAATAGAGGCCCTTCTGAGCCTCTGTTTTCTCATCTATAAAATGGGGCTGATGATAAGGACTGAGAAAAAGCCCTGATTTCCACAGTACAGGGCGGGAACCACTAGTGACTCTCAGGCCTTTTTCATTTTGCTTCTGACTTCTTTAGGGGAAAACCTTGTCCTTTGTATTTGTTTTTATAATAGCAAGGAGCAGTGCTGTTCCACTTCCTGAGTGACACGGTCTCTTTTAAAATAAATTAACCTAGATTAGAAGCTAATAGTAATATCAGTGTACTGTAGTTAAGACATAAATTGTGTAAACAGCATGTGGGTTTGAATCCCAGCTCTGCCGCCACCTGTCTTTTGTGACCTTGGGTAGGTCATTTAATGTCTCTGAGCCTCAGTTTCCATCACTGTAAAGTGAGGATAACAGTAGTACTATCTTACAGGGTTGTAAAGTTTACATGAGATGATACAGTCAGAGCCGTAGAATAGCATCTGGCAGATGCAAAATACCATAGTGTTAACAGAAGTTTCCTGTGTTTCCTGTGCAAATGATTGACCTTTGGAAAGCACGGAGCTGGTGCTGGTACAGTGCAGTTTCTGATGGAGGTTGGTGGGCAATGAATGGTAGCTGGTGCTATTGTTTCGGTTATTTAATAAGGATGATGTTATAATAGTCATAATAACAAATGAAGAGGTAGTATTTGTTGTTTTGGAAATGAATTTCTTGGGGCAGAAACTCTTGGGCAGCCTGATAGGATCCAGTGAGAGTCCACGGTTCAAATCTGTCTGTTGTCTTGACTTGACTGCCCTAGGCCAAGCCCAGCATCCGGTGCTTCATCAAACCCACCGAGACGCTGGAGCGGTCCCTGGAGATGAACAAGCACAAGGGCAAGAGGCGGGTGCAAAAGAGACCCAACTACAAAAACGTTGGGGAGGAAGAAGAGGAGGAGAGAGGGCCCTCCGAAGATGCCCAGGAAGACGCTGAGAAGGCTAAAGGTACAGAGGGTGGTTCAAAAACCATCAAGACGAGTGGGGAGAGTGAAGGTGAGTGCGCCCGTGAATACCGCCCTGCCCCCTGCGCTGAGCCAGCTGTCATTCGTGTGGTGCCCCAGTGTGCAGCGGCTGCTTCTGGCTCTTCCTGACGCCAGGGTACCTCATTCTGCACGGCCTGGCCATTCGGGACAAGGCCTGCTCTCATTGGATGGCTGACCTAGGGCAAGGTTCTTTACTTGCAGCCCTGTGTTCAGTTTCCCCACCTCTAAAAAGAGGGTGACAAATAGTATTTTTTGTCATTATGAGAATGAAGAGTCAATACATGTGACGTGCCCAGAACAGAGCCTGGCCCTTGTCTATCCCGGCTGCTCCTGCAGTTATACCCCTGGTACCCTCGCCCTGACATCACTACTCTTGTCCCCAGTGACCTGGGGGCATGACTTTTGGCAGGAGTCATTATTTTCAGTGCACTGCAGGAAGAAAAGGAGCATATGTTTAATGAAATTATATGCTTTTAATAAGATTATGTGTTTTTGGAATCAAATAATCAAACATAATCCCCTAGGTTCTTGTGTTAAGGTTTTTTAAAAGCCCTGTCTATTTAGCGTGAGGTACACTTGTGTTTGGTGCACATATGCTCGATGAGCAGAATCATTCAGTCCTCTTTTTTGCCCTTCTTGGGAATGATTCTGGTTTATTTTCACTTCCCTCTTGTTTAGAGGCTAACACCTTCTTGGTTTAGAGAGCACTGTCTACTCTAGGATTAAGCAAGCTTGAACTGTCCAGTTCTTTGTGTCATGGGCTGGGCTCACAGCCACACAGCTGGGGTCCACCCCTGGCCACAGCCTCTGTGTTCAGGGTGGTGGAGGTAGTGGGGTGGGGGCTCTATTTGCTGGATGTGAACTCCCACCACGCCTCCCGAGACAAACACGGGCCCCCTTCAGCAGGTCTGCCAAGGGGTGGGGAGCCCTTCCCTGAGCCACCCTCTGGGTCCTGGGCTAGCAGTGCAGTGGCTGGGCTGAAGCCCGCTCTCCCAGGTCAGCAGCCTGGACTGTGTGGGTCCCGAGTCCAGGGCATCTACTGCTGGAAAACAGAGCAGCTCGGTAAATCAGCACCTAGAAACTCATTCATTTGGGGGAGTTGCTGCAGTTATGCAGCCAAAACCCGCCTCTGTCCCCACCCTACTGGCCCCGTTCTGATTTCTTGGCAGTTCTCAGTGAATGCCATGAATGCTATGGTCACATTTTGATAAGTATAACCAAAGCGTCTCTCTGATGCCACCCAGGCCTCTTGTAAGGCTGAGATCTCCAGCATGCTTTTATTTCTGTTCCAAGTGCCCAGTCAACATTTTGGTTTAGGCATTCTTTTATGGCTCAGGAAACCTTTGCCAACAAATACCACTTTGGTGAGGAGGTGAGGGACAAACACAAGGTAAGCCATACTTGTTTGCTCATTTGCATCATTTTTATTTCATTTTTTTTAACTCGGGAGAAAATTGTCTGCTTAAACCCTAGGTTTAACTGTCCTGTAGCCACACTGGGGGGAAAATGGACAACTACATCCCTTTTGTACACTATGTTCTTGTCGATTTTGTTTGGAAAGATGTGACCTCTTTTGTTCCAGTCCTTTTAAGGGCTGCTCTCCAACCAGGCCTGGGCCATGACTAACCATGGTGTGGACAGGGCAGGCTTGGCCTCAAACATACAATCAAATGAGTCAGATCGGCGGTCCAGCCCTAGTGCAGGGGGGCTTCAGCATGGCTGCCGTTCTGGCTCACTCTTGGAATTGAGGTATTGGCCTCCTGGACACTGAGCCTGCCTGCCCTGTGCAGGGGGCAAGGAAAGAAACATTCACCAGCCTCTGAAAACCTGTTTTCTGGGCAGTTACTCGGCCAGATTGTGCCATGCAGGGCCCAGGAATTTCCCCAGAGGCCTTGCTGGGACAGGTGATGCCGACTTCACAGTGTGGTTGAGTGTGGCTCTCAGCCACCCCCTCAGCATTTTGGTGCCCTCTTATTTTCTTGAACATGCATCAGTCATTCCAAACTATAATGGGCCTGTCATCGTTCCATCTAGCTCACCATAAATACAACTTTCTCAGGCCATCCAGCAAAGAGACACCCAACTGAGCAGCAACAGCAGCTGGATTCTAGGGCTTTGCAATCACCCATTTGATCTCTCAGTTACTCTTATGTTTGAGGTGCAGCTGGTGAGCGTTCTCTCCTTCGATTGTCTGTGTTTGGGTAAAACCACCCAGCTGTTAAATCCTGTGACTTGGAAGGATGTCAGGCACATTTTCTCATTCAGTTTTAAGCCAAAGGACAGTTTGATGGGGGTGGGGGGTATCTAGGAGATGGAGCTCCGACGTCAAGTCCTGTCCCAATATCCAGGTTTCTTGTGGTCCTTGGATGGTCTCCTCAAGCTCTCGATCTCATTTTCCCCATCCGGAGAGTATGAGTATAGGAAATATAATCCATGTGATGACTTTTTTTAAAAAAATGAGAATGCATTAGGATTCTTGTGGTTACAAGATTTAGAAATTCAGCTCAGACTAGCTTAAGCAAAAAGGGTGATTATTGTTCTCTTGGGTAGGGCTGGACCCAGGTGCAGAGACGACTACCATCCGCACCAGTCTTGCATCCTGCTAACTTACCACCCAGTGCCGAGAGAGTTGCTCCTTCCCACTGGCTGCAGCTGAAGTTTGGGGGCCCGTGGTTGGTGGTGCTCATGGGCCTGGCTTACCCACTGCTGTCGGGGATGTATGGTGACTGGCCAGGCCTGGGTCACAGCTCAACCCAGTGGTGACTCTCTCAGTAAACAAATGAGGTGCCTTCAGAAGAAGGGGCTGTGGATGCTCGGTCAGCAGCAACAGCAGGTGCCCGCCTGGAAGTACTCCTCATCTCCCTCAGGGCCATTTCCTTCCTGCCTGTTTGGATGTGGATACATGGCTATTTTCTCCTCCAAATGATTTCTCCTCTAGCCTTGCTGTAATAGGCACAGGAGACTCTTGAGTAAAGAGATGCTGGCACCAGTTCCCCCTGTATACCCTGCCACCCCCATTTCAGTGGTGAAATTGTAGGAAGATTTCACTCACAAAAGTAGTGTAAAGCACAAGAATAAAAAGACACGTGGTCACAAGTCACAATTTTGCCTTGACCTGATTTAAATGTAGCATTACCACGTTTCGTTCTACAAGTGCAGCACCCAGAATTTACACCTTCTCCGCATTTAAGCCCAGACAAAGAGGTTGTATGAAATGAATGTGCAGCCCTGGACCCCTCCACTCTCATCCCCAGTTTGCAAAGAAATTTGCTCTGCCTTAGGTCGCAAGGAATGGGTAATTCATTCTGAAACCAAGGAAGTCACAGGGCACCTAAGTTTGCAGAAATTGAATACTAACAGGAAAAAGAGGGGGTGCCCTAGTCCCTGTAGCTAAAGGAGTGTCCTTGAGGTGTGCATTTGTGTCTCGGCTTGCTTTTCGGTCTGAAAGGACAACCGTCTCTTTTTGGACTCAGAGCAATAGCTTAATAAACACCTGAGATAAGAGAATGAATCATTTGAACTTCTTGTATGAAAAATAGGGTTTGGCATTTGTCTTTTGCCAATGGAAAAAGTAGGCATCAATTCACAGCCTGACCGCCAAAGCGTCTTCTTTTCTTGGAATCCTAGCAAGGGCGTGGAGTAAAGGTGACAACACTGACTTTGAACCTGCCAGGTCAGCTGGGAGTTTGGTGCCACAGCTTTGCTTTTTTTTTTTTCTTTTCCTTGAAGTCTTTACTGCAATGAAATGGAGCCCTGGCCTCCTTTCTGACTCCTTTTGTAAAGCCAGAGCGACCCCAGGCCTGGCAGAGTTTCCTGCCTGAGACGAGCCGTGGACTAGCTATTGGGAGGTTGGGGTCTGAATCCCAGACCATGAAGGGCTGCCCCTGAGCGGTTCTGTGACCCTGGGCAAATCATTGCTTCTCCAGGGATAGAGGAGGCTTCACGATGCTCGGCCCTCAGCCTGCCAGAAATGAGAATACCAGAGCCTCAGCATTTCACACAGGACACATGAACACTGAACGGGGACCCTGGCCAAGATGGGACTTTGTGCTTGGGTACCCAGATGAGTTTCTGTGGTGCCTGTTCCACTGTTAATTTCCATAATGAGATGGTTGAGTGTGTGCTTGCATGTGTGTGTGGGAGAGAGAGAGAAACAGATGGAGGAGAGAAGGGACGGAGGAGAATGATCATGAGCTGGCCCACTGTTGTAGAGATGTGGGAACGTCTGTGTTTGAAATGGGCTTAACTAGTACAAGGAGAAGGATTGGAGGTCAGTTTAGACTAATCCTCTGAAAAGCAACTTCCCAGAAAAAACATTTGAAAGTCAACTGCATGCTATTCAGTGAAAGATAATAAAAAACAAAGGAAGAGAAACCCCAAATACTGAGCACAGACACACCCAGGTACGATTTGCCTCTTGAAATTCTTCTCCAGAGCCAGACGGTAGCATGCAGACCTTCCCTTATTTCCTAGCAAGGGTGTCTTCTTCCTCTTTCCCTTAACTTCTTTTAGGCCTTTTTAATCTCCCCTGCCCCCTTTTTACTGTCTGTCCTTGCTGTGATTGCTAGAATAGAGAACACAGAGGGCAACTGAGAAGGTCCTTGAACTTGTGACATCAAAGACTACTGGGAGGTCGCATCTGCCATTTCCCTGAAAAGCACTTAATTCCAAATACTAATCAGATTAGAATTGTGCATCTTCCCAGGCAATTTGATGAATTGTTGCTGTTATTTAAAATAATCAGCGTCAGAGCATTAGGGAAGCATGTGCATTTGGCCAGAATTGTCTTAAGGAGAGGCAGAAGTTGCCGTCCTTGGGTCCTGAGAGTCCTCAGGTCTCTCCTGTCCCTTCACATTGTTGTGCCACCATCTGGGGATGTCCATCTCCAGAACTCGTGTCATCTCACTTAGAAGCTCTGTGCCCATTAAACACTAACTCCCATCCTCTCTCTCCCAGTCCTTCGCAACTACCATTGCCCTTTCTGTTCTGTGGATTTGATCACACTAGGTA